AGAAACTGGCAAAACTGGAGCAATACAGGTAGTCCTCAATTTACGACCACAATTGATCCCAAAGTTTCTCTTATTAAGTGAGACATTTGTTAAGTGAGTTTTGCCCCATTTTATGACTTTTCTTGCCTCGGTTGTTAAGTGAATCACTACAGCTGATAACTTAGTGACCAGGATGTAAGCGAATTTGGCTTCCCCATTGTTTATCAAAGGTCACAAACGGTGATCACATGATTTTGGGACACAGCAATGGTCATAAATATGATCCATTTGCCAAGCATCTGAATTTAGATCACATGATCATGGGGATGCTGCAAAGTCGTCACTGTGAAAAGTGGTCATAGGTCATTTTTCAGGGCTGTTGTAACTTTGAAAGGTCACTAAATGAACTGTTGTAAGTCGAGGACTACCTGTACTGTCAAAAATATTTGGGGAAGGTTGTAGAGAAAGTAATTAGGTTGTAGAGAGCTTCATATGAAGCACAGAATTAGATCCAGTCTAAGTTCAGCTCTAAGTGTGAGATGAAAAATGGATCGGTTGCTCTAGTGGATGTTCTGCCTTGGGGTGTGGATGGGAGCCACAATCTTTCTTCTTCCGTTAGTTCTCTCAGCATCATTTCAACCCTTCAAGCATGGCATCCTTTTGGTCTATCTATGAAGTTTGCCCTGAGTGGGGAACATGGTCCATAGGAGAAATTTAATAAAAATGAAAAAGATACTAAAAATAAATGGAAGTAATATGTTTTATTGGCATTCAAAAGGAAACAAAGATAAAGCATGATAAGCTTAGCTAGCACATTTTTCACACACATCCTCTAAGTCTTTGGTTGACTTTGTTAGGCATGCGGTGTGAACCCAGCAATAGGTTGAAGAAGTTTCAGTACTGAACAAATAGAAGCAAAGCACAATATTAAATGAATAGGTACATAGGAAATATTCATCATACTGAATACCTACTGTGTAATAATTTAATGCTCTTTATGGGGTTTAATTTTAAGCCTTTGTGGGAATAGCACACAGCTTGTAAGGGTGTGGATGCATTATCACATTCAGAATAGGGGCTTCATTGAGTTCTTTCACTCCTTCAGGCAACCGGAAGCTGAAGGCCCTCAACAGATTGGTCAGAAAGATGAAGCTCTCAATTCTTGCCAGCTGTTCTCCCACACATGCACGCTGACCTGTAGATGATAGAAGCATGCATAAAGGGGATAATAATCAATTCTCCAGAATATATCCCATCAGCAAGGAAATGTGAAAGAAGATTTGTAACAGATGAAGCACATTTCCCTGTTGAATCTCACTGCCAGGAATTTGATTATGACAGACTCAAGCTTGACTCATCCTTCCATCCTTCCAAGGTCGGTAAAACAAGGACCCAGATTGTTGGGGGCACTTAGAGAGGGCTATAAAAGCACTATGAAGCGAGATATAAGTCTAAGTGCTAAGTGCTTGCTATTGCTAAACAGAAATAATGCCAATTTGAGCAGACCATCTGTTTCTTGCTCAGGAATCCCTGACCATAAAGGTGATGAGCAGGACCAGGATACCAAATTGCATAGGAAGCTTTTTAGTAAGGAGGAACGCTATTGATGATACTGATAAAGTAATAGACTACCTTGTAACCTTTAACATGTAACCTTTAGCAATAGCAATAACAATAGTGATTAGAGTTATATACCACTCCATTGGTGATTTCCAATTTCACCATATTGCCCCCAACAATCAGGGTTCTCATTTTACTGACCTCAGAAGGATGGGAGGCTGAGTCAAACATCAGCCGATCAGGATCAAACAGCTGGCTGTGGGCATTTCAAGCTTTAGCTGAACTAAGCAACCTAAACTCATTTTATTATAAGGTGGATGACATATTGATTATTTAAAACTGTCTTACTGTGACCCTGAAGATGTAAGCAAGATGTATGCTACTTTTAATGATTATTTTATCATGACATGTATTTCCATGATTGGCATCATGGCAATGTATGCTTTTCAAAATTGCATCAAAGGGGGTCCACTCCAAGCAGAGGTGTGCCCATTCGGAACTTGCTTCTGGGTAGACCTTTTATTTACATATAAAAGGGTTTTTTTTTCCTTTCCACCTGACCTGTGTCGGTCATTGGGCCTGTATGTTTAGGTAGGAGGACATGAGTTTTGGGGGACAACAATAGTTTTTCATATCTATCATAACTGAAGCTGTGCCTTTTATGCCCTTTGTTATCAGCACCAGCAATAGAGAAAGATTCATTGGTGTACAAGCAGTACCAGACAGGATGAGAACGCTGTTGTAGGGGGAGCTCTGAAGCCATTAAAAAGACTGAGCTTAATGCATCTAGGACCAAAACTCTGTGATGCAGATCCATCATTAAGAAGCTAAAAGTAGGCTTGTTTTCTTTGGGTTTAGCTAATAATTCTCCCCCAAACAACAGGGATAATTGTGCAAAGCTCTACTGATTACAATCTAAATATAATTAGTATTTCTTTATAGTTAAAACTTTGCAGCCTAAGAGGAATTTCAGACTCTCATGGTTTTGAAAGTAGAAGGAATAGAGATTCCTGGATTTTCTATTCAGTCCATGATGACTTCAGAATAACACAGTGATGGGGGTGACAGGAATCTATAAGTGATAAACTGGTTTGGGCTCATGGACTTACCTATTCCGAAGAGCAGAAACTCTTCTCGTTCAATGAACTTCCCATCCTTATCTAAAAAGTGATTTGGGTTGAATTCTTCAGGTGTCTCCCATTGTTCAGGGTCAAGAAGAACAGAACGCAGGTCTGGCAAAATCATGGTCTTCTGCAAAAAATATTCAGACAATATTGATGAAATGTTTGGTTTTAGCTTGTCTTGATAGACCCACATTTATTCATTTCCAAAGCAGTTTCTGAGAGCAGTGGCTGTTCTTAGCATTTCTCACCTTTGGAATGTGGTAACCCTTCACCGTCACATCCTTTGTAGTTTGCCTGGGTCCCCCAACTAGGAAGACACTTTTAAAACGCTGCATTTCATGAATCACGGCATTGGTGTAGGGCAGCTTCTTCCGATCCTGATAGGAAATTGAGACCGAGGAACTAAAGGCATCTTCAATCTCCTTCTGGACTTTCTCTACAAAAAAACAATAGAAGTAGAAACCTCTTTTTCATTATGTTTCATTTACTTGTTTCCAAATGTTAATCCTTAACAGAAGTTTAGGACAAGTCTAGGAATAACCTTTAGGGCATTAAATGTAATCCCATCCTTTTTAAAAAAATATTATGAAGGAGAGCAGATTGAAAATGCATTTCCTGTGCTCTGATCATATCCAGTCCAAACAGGTGCAGAATATTGATTCAGTTTACATATTCCATGGAATCTTTTTCAATCTACACTGTGTGCACAATTATTAGGCAAGTGAGTATTTTGGTAATACAGAACAATTAAAATAAAGAGGATTAAATAAACTAAAAACCAAGAGGATGGGTAACAAGGAGTAGGGATTGTTTCTCTACCCTACCAGTCACTCCCATAGTAGTGCACCTCTATCAGGGCTCCAGAGCAATTGGCAGAGCCAGGTTTTAAGACTCTTCCTGAACACCCGCAGGGTAAGGGTGGACCTCACCTCCAGGAGGAGAATATTCTAGACAGTGGGGGTCACAGCAGAATAACCTCTTCTCCTGAACACTGCCAGCTGAAATTCTTTAGCAGTCAGTATCCGAAGGAGGTCTCTTCTGCTAGACTCTAGAGAAACAGGGATGAGCTTGTCATATTGAAGTGAGACAGCTCCTAAGATACCCTAGACTACAGAGGTCTCCAACCTGGCCAGTGTGAGTGCACGTGTGCGCGTTTTCATATGCCCCCTTCCACCAGCATCACTGTGAGCCTCTTGCCAGCTCTAGCCTCGCCACGAGTCTTGTACTGGCACAACCAGGCCCATTTGTGGAGTGCGTATGCTTGCGGCCCCATTTGTGCACACCCATGCACAGCCACATTTGCATGTGTGTGCATGCATGCATAAAGGTGCCTGCCCCTCCCTTTCTCACCGGGCCACCAACCCAGATATTTTGGATATTCCTGCCCTACACCCACTCCATAAAAGGCTTTAAATTCACCTTGCATTGGACCCAGAACCAAACTAGCAACCAGTGCAGCACATGTAACAGTGGTGTTATATATGCCACCCAAGGGATCTCTAGAAGTAGCTGCACCACTGGATTTGCTACCAGCTGTAGCTTACAAATACTCTTCAAGGGTAGCCCAAGTAGAGCACATTGCAGTAATCCAACTGAGAGATTAAAAGGGCATGGGAGACCCTGCACATATCCTCACAATCCATGAAAGGGTACAATTAGCAAATAACATGAAATTACACAAAGGGTCTCCTAGCCTCGGCTGCCACCTGTTCTTTCAGTTGGAGTCATGAGTCTGGAAGAAACCACAAATTGCACACAGGATCTGTCTGGCAAAATGCAGTCCACTCAGAACTATAGATGATAAAGCCCTAGATCCTGGAGTCCCTTTGATCCCACAGTGACTCCATCTTACCAAAAGAAGGTGTAGGGGTGACATGATAGCAGTGTTCCAATATTTGAGGGGTATCTTTAAAGATGAGGGGGGTCAAACTATTTTTCAAAGGACCAAAAGGCAAGACAAGAAACAATGATTGGAAATTAACCAAGGAGAGAAGCAACCTAGAACTAAGAAGAAATTTCCTAACGATAAGAGTAATCAGCCAATGGAACAACTTGTCTTTTGAAGTTGTGGGTGCTCCATCACTGCAGGTTTTCGAGAAGAGATTGGAAAGCTACCTGCCAGGAATAGTGTAGGTCTTCTCACCGGTGGGATTCAAATATGTGAACAACTGGTTCTCTGTGTGGATGCCACTTCCAGAAGTCCATTCTGGGTCTGGGCAACAAATAATTAGCTACCGGTTCTGCCGAAGTGGTGCAAACTGGCTGAATCCCACCACTGGGTCTTCTGCTTGAGCAAGGTCCTTCCAATTCTATTATACTATGTTCTACCAGGGTTAAGCTGAAGCCTGTTGTCCCCCATGCAGACCCCCATGGTGTCCAGGCATTGCAAGAGGGTAATTACAGCATCACCTAGGTCACTGGCCTGGAGATGCAAAGTTGACTATTCTGGAAAAAATGATGATGCCTCACCCCATGGTGTTGGATGATCTCACCAAGCAGTTTCATGAAGATTTAAAAAGGAACAGAGAGAGGACGGAGCTCTGCACCATGACACAAATGAGAAGCTTTGGACTGGACCTCTCACTCCCTATCGCCACCAATTGGGACTGGCCTTGAAGAAAAGAGATGAACCAGTGCAACACTGCACCATCCAGTCCCGATTCCCACAGCCAGCTGAAAAGGATACCACGGTTGATGGTATCAAAAGCCGCAGAGGGGAAAAGAAGAACAATGATGGACGTGCTATCCCCATCCCACTCCCTCCAGAGATCATCCACAAGTATGGTTAATGCTGTCTCTGTCCCATAACCAGGCCTGAAACCTGGCTGAAAGGGGTCCAGATAATCCATTTCATCCAGGACCCATACTGCAACCATTTTCCCCACTACTTTCCCCTTCACTAAAAAGGGGATTTCTGCAATTTAGGCCAGAAACAAGTAGCAAATCTGAAAACCAGGGTATATTTCTACTTTGAACGTGTTAAATGTTTTAGATTTATACTGATTCCAGTTTTTAGTTCCTCTCTCAACATTTTCATTGAGAATTCAAAGAAGGCTCTCTGTTTGTACATTCCTGGTTTTTCTGTTATCCTGCCAAGTTCATTCCCCTGCTTATAGGGTCAAGAATCTACATAGGAAAATTATTATGAAGAATCCATTCAGTTCCTCACTCAATAGCTTAGCATTTCAAATAATTTCTGTATATTATAGAACCTGAGACTGGCTCTTGTTCCCACAGCCCAGATTTCTCTCACCTTGGATGTCAGGATGATTGGTCAAGAGGAGCAGTGCCCACTTCAGAGTAACCAAGGTTGTCTCTGTCCCAGCACCAAAAAAATCAAAAATACACTGAGCCAGGTTCTCTTCATTGTAGGTAGAGTTGGTGTCATACCTGCTCTGATGTTTAAAATGAAAAATGAAAATTACAATGGATTCTATGCAAGTTTTTTATAGTTATTTTTGTCTCTGTGTTGCAAGTCATGAGAATAAATATATTCCTGGTAGTTATATTGGAAAATCAATTCATGAGAGTAAGAATTAAAGTGTTATGTTCACACTGAGTAAAACACTATATTGAAGTAGCCAAGATCAAAGAGAGATTTGGCTTTGGAAGAACTTGAATTCATCTCCTTTTATTTTATGGTTGGTTGCCTCAGCAAATGCTTGCATGTGGAACAGTGATTAATGTGTACCTACTATAGTGAATCACAAAACATCACAAGCAGGAATATCTGCATGAATTGTAATTTAAAGTTATGCCCAAAAGTGATGTACATGACCGATCTCACTACCAGCTTCTGTGGCTACTCTGACACACCATGATCATTCATGCATTTTTTAAAGTACAGGTAGTCCTCAATTTACAACCATTAATTTGATGATCATTCAAAGTTTCTGTCATGGTTCCGACTAACAAAACACTTCAAAGAACTTTTAGGCATTGTTTATTCTAAGAAGTCTTTAATCGTGAAACAAAGTGTCGGCACAGCATGGTGGATGCCAAGATCTGAATTACCCTCCCTTCAGCACATAATATCTGGCACAATTCCCTCCTCTAATTAGCAGTCATAATCACATTCTCCAATCAGTTTGAAGGGCAAAGCTTCCCTTCCATTCTATAATGCGCCATTTCTGATCTTATTCAAAACAACTGGGGGAAACATCTTCTAATTCTAAGAGCAAAGCAAAGTAAAGGAAAAGGCTGCCTCTTTATATTGTCAAAGCAAAAACACCCAATTGTTGCAGCGTTGACATTCGGCCCCCATTACAAAAAGGATAGATCCTGTAATGTAAGCAACAGCATATGTCAGGGATTATCTCTTGGTTTGTTGGGGGGTTTTGCATGAAACTTTTTGATGACTCGGTCAGCCTTCACATCGCTAGATTTCACCCAAGTAGCTTCAGTCAGCAAGTACCCCTTCCATTGTACTAGGTACTGCAATTTCCCTTTAAAAATTCTAGAGTCCAGAATACGTTTCACTTCATAGTGAGTCTGACCCACTACTATAAGGGGCCCAGGTGCCTTCTTAGAGGGAGGTCTTAAAGTGGAGCCCTGACAAGGTTTTAACAAGCTGCAATGGAAGACAGGGTGAATTCTCCCTAAAAGCCTAGGGAGTTTTAATTCTACTGTGACAGGGTTGATGATTCTTACGATGGGGAAAGGCCCCAAGAATTTTGGTCCTAATTTCTTGCTGGGTAATTTGAGGTGTAAATATTTAGTCGACAGATAAACCTTTTCCCCAACTTGGAATGTTCTTTGGGGAGCCCTCCTTTTATCAGCCTGCTTTTTATAGGTCTCAGAAGTCTTTTTTAACACAGTTTTTGTGTTTCTCCAAACTTCTTCCCACCCCCTCACCCATTGATCAAGTGTCTGGGAGACGGAGGGCACCTGAGGATATTCAGGTATTGGGCTTAACTCTTTTCCTGTGGCTACTCTGAAAGGCGTGTAGCCAGTGCTGCTGTGAACAGAATTATTGTAAGCCACCTCGGCGAAAGGGAGGAGGTCAGTCCAGTTTGTCTGTTGGTAGGAAACGTAGCATCTGAGATATTGCTCCACCATTTTGTTAGCGGATTCTGCAACCCCATTGGTAGCCGGATGAAAAGCAGATGATAAGCCTTGAGATGATCCAATTAATTTAAGAAAACTCCTTCAAAATTTCACTGTGAACTGCACCCCTGTGTCCGAAATTATTCACTTAGGGGCACCATGCAGCCGGTAGATGTGTTTTGGTAACAATTTAGTCAGTCATTGGGCAGATGGGAGTCCTTTGCAGGTGATGAAATGAGCCTGCTTTGAGAACATGTCTATCACAGTCCAGATGACGATATTTCCTCTACTTTCAGATAGGTCTACTATAAAGTCCATAGCTATTTCTTCCCATGGTTGAGAGGGGTCTGCCACTGGTTGCAGTAGCCCAGGGGGTTTCCCTGGAATTCTTTTCATGGTGGCACATACAGTACAACTCCTGACATAGATTTCCACATCTCGTTTTAGCCCCAGCCACCAGAATTGCCGGCGGATGAGGTGTAGAATTTTTAAATATCCAAAGTGCCCAGCTTGTTTTACGTCTTGGCTGTGTTTGAGAGCATTAAGATGGAGGGCTTCAGGCAGATACAGTCGTCCCCCCCCGTAAGCCAGACCATCTCTGCATGTTAGGGAGGTTTGATTATCTTTGAACCATTAATCGATGAGGAGCTCTTGTTTTATTTTCTTTGCCCCAGGGTAATCAGGATTAGGGGCTCTGTGGGGTGTGAGTTGAGCAGCAGTTTCTGGACTGGAGATAATTGCCTCATTAACCTCTTCGCGTTCGCTTTTGTACTGGGGCAATCAGGATAGCGCATCAGCTAGGAAGTTTTTTCCTCCTGGTACGTACTTTAGAGTGAAGTTGAAGTGGTTAAAGTACTGTGCCCACCGCACTTGCTTTGGGGACAATTTGCAGGGAGTTTTCTAGATTTTTGTGATCTGTCCATACTTCAAATGGCACCTTTCTCCCTTCTAGATAATGTCACCAGTTTAACAACCCCCACCTAATTACAAAGGCCTCCTTCTCCCAGATTGCCCATCCCCTCTTGCTTTCAGTAAATCTTTTAGAGGTGTAGGCGCAGGGTTGTAGAACTCCACTTTTGTTCTTTTGCAGTAATACAGCTCCAACTGCCATGTCGCTGGCATCAGCTTGGATTACAAAGGGTTCCCCTGGGCAGGGATTCTTTATGACTGGTTCAGCAGCAAATAGTCTTCTTAAATTCTCAAAAGCTGTTTGAAAGCTCATAGTCCATGTAAGTGGTTGGCCCGGTTGTGGTTTTCCTCCTCCTTTGCCTGTTTTGAGTAGTTCTGTAATGGGTAGGGCAATCTCGGCAAAGGAGGGGATGAATTGACGATAAAAGTTGGCAAAACCTAAAAAGCTCTGAAGCTGTTTGCAAGTCTTTTGGGGCTGCTACTCAATTATAGTTCTCACTTTGGCTGGGTCCATTTCTGTGCCCTCTTTGGAAATTTTGTAGCCAAGATAATCTAATCGGGTCTGGTGAAAGTCACATTTTGACAATTTGGCATAAAGCTTGGCATTCAATAGTTTTTTTAACACTTCTCTCACCAGCTTTATGTGATCAGTCATATTCGTGCTGTTCTCCACACTCACCACATTGAGACCATTATAGTCCACACAGAGACGAAGAGACCCATCTTTTTTTTTCTTTGAACAACACAGGGGCTCCCACAGTACACTTGGCTCATTCAATGAGCCCCCTTGCTAGGTTTTTATTCATGTATCGTTGCATCTCCTCCATGTTGAGGGGGGGACATAGCGGACATTCTCGGTCATGGGAGTTTGGCTCCTGGCAACAGTTTAATTGAACAATCATTGGGTCTGTGAGGGGGCAGGGTATTGCATTATTTCTCACTGAATGCCTCCGCCAGGTCCCGGTACTTGCTGGGAATGATTGGCTCACCTGGTGGCAGTGAGGCAGCCATATGCGCATGCTCATTTGGTGGCCTAAAGTGTCCTGCAATGTCAGTTGAATTGGTGGGAGGTTTAGGCCCTATAGGTAGTCTCACAGTTCTCATTCCTTTCTCCCACCAGATAAATGGCTTCCATTTGTCCAACCACACTAATCCTAGGATCACAGCCTCAGTCATTTTGGGGACCACCAGGAAGTGAATAAACTCCCAGTGCTNTCTAACCTACATCGTCCACATAGGACGACTCGGGAACTCAACTCCTACCCCGGGCAGCTCACCGATCCCCTTATGCCCGGGGGAAAGGTATCAAGCCGTTTGACAGCTGATGCTTGCTGTCAAAACGGCTTTTACGCGAAACAGGCGGGAGGCAGCTGTCGGCTGCGTCCGACGAGGTCGCCTGCACACCGGAAGTCCAGTTTATCATAACTGAAGCTGTGCCTTTTATGCCCTTTGTTATTAGCACCAGCAATAGAGAAAGATTCATTGGTGTACAAGCAGTACCAGACAGGATGAAAACGCTGTTGTAGGGGGAGCTCTGAAGCCATTAAAAAGACTGAGCTTAATGTATCTAGGACCAAAACTCTGTGATGCAGATCCATCATTAAGAAGCTAAAAGTAGGCTTGTTTTCTCTGGGTTTATCCCCCAAACAACAGGGATAATTGTGCAAAGCTCTACTGATTACAATCTAAATATAATTAGTATTTCTTTATAGTTAAAACTTTGCAGCCTAAGAGGAATTTCAGACTCTCATGGTTTTGAAAGTAGAAGGAATACAGATTCCTGGATTTTCTATTCAGTCCATGATGACTTCAGAATAACACAGTGATGGGGTGACAGGAATCTATAAGTGATAAACTGGTTTGGGCTCATGGACATACCTATTCCGAAGAGCAGAAACTCTTCTCGTTCAATGAACTTCCCATCCTTATCTAAAAAATGATTTGGGTTGAATTCTTCAGGTGTCTCCCATTGTTCAGGGTCAAGAAGAACAGAACGCAGGTCTGGCAAAATCATGGTGCTCTGCAAAAAATATTCATACAATATTGATGAAATGTTTGGTTTTAGCTTGTCTTGATAGACCCACATTTATTCATTTCCAAAGCAGTTTCTGAGAGCAGTGGCTGTTCTCAGCATTTCTCACCTTTGGAATGTGGTAACCCTTCACCGTCACATCCTTTGTAGTTTGCCTGGGTCCCCCAACTAGAAAGACATATTTTAAACGCTGCATTTCATGAATCACGGCATTGGTGTAGGGCAGCTTCTTCCGATCCTGATAGGAAATTGAAACTGAGGAACTAAAGGCTTCTTCAATCTCCTTCTGGACTTTCTCTAGAAAAAACAATAGAAATAGAAGCCTCTTTTTCATTATTATGTTTCGCTTACTCGTTTCCGAATTTTAATCCTTAACAGAAGTTTAGGACATAGAATAGCATTTAGGGC